GGGGGGGGGGGCGACGCAGGGGCGATGGTAACCAGGACAGTTGGACAGAAGGCGAATGAACATTCCATATTGCCTCCAGTTAGAAAATTTCCAATATCTTATTAGGAAAACTTTTGCATATGAGATTAACTCAAGATATTAAATAGTTATTCTCTACGATCAATTAAATGATGGGGCAATATAGAATATGGTAGGAGGACAATTTTAGAGGAAGATTATTCGCACAATGGGGTAGAACGTACCTACAGAGTTTCATTGCATTCATCCATCCATGCTCCTGGATTTCATCGTTTGTGAACGAATGGTGCATAAGCATTCCATTTTACCCCCAGTTCTACCCCTCTCGCTTCCCATTTATAACTGTACGGGTAAATTTTACCCCATTGTGCGATGAATCTCCCTCTAAAATTGCCCCTCTACTTCGTATTTTATATTGCTTAACTATTTAGTTATCCACTGATGCATTAATGAACATGTTACGTCAATCTAAGTTTCATTTCCAAATCGTGGAAATTGTCTAAGTTCCGAATACGCCATGAAAGACGTCATTCTACATTAGGCCCTACCGCGACAGCGGAGACACGCGTAGACTTGAGTCTGTCACCAAAGGCTCCGAAACACCAAATTGATTGAGGGAGACGCTGGCAGGCTGCATTCGGTGTCTCACTGTCTCTGGGCCACTCATGAGACTTAAAATTTTGTTCTGATATGAAAGGGTAATTTTGTAAACAGTGTCTAGCGTTTTTCTCCGTGCATAATTATCATTTTGGCATAGCTAATAGCGTACTTGCATTAGTTGGAATAAATGGATTTGAAAAATTTGTTGTGTCTCTTTGTTTGCAGGGTCAAATGTCAGGTCAAACGGCAACAGTAAACGGGAATATGAGTATAGGACCCCGAGGGCCAGGCGATATGAACAACAATGGTTTGTCAGGTTCAGGAATAGGAGCAGTGAAAGCCCCACCAATGTCAATGCCAGCGCCAACGAGCTGAGACGAGGTGTCCCCGCCGATGAAAAAACTCCGGTGTCTCGACGGCTACTAAACCACCCTCAACCCGAGGGACCACAACGTCCAGCTACAACCCAAAAATCACGCAAACAAGAAACCACAATCCCCAAATGACCAACAAGGATTGAAAAAACTTGTTGAATCATTTCCACTGCGAGAATTCGCAGTAGTACATCGCTGTGATCGTGAATTGGACAAAGTGATAGTGAATAAAAAAGTTAAATTGTACATGAATCTAGCTAAGGCCAGGGCTTATGTAAGATATTTTTCAGCAATGAAGGAAAATACGAGATTGTAAATAATTGTGAACCAAGTGGATTGAGAATCAGAATATTTGATGTGAGGGGAGGGGTATACGATTGTGACTTGAGACGAAGCCATGGGTAACCCATACAGCTAAAACCAAAGAATGTAATCGTAAGGAAATCATCGTCGCTCGACCGACCATGTATGATTTGTTTTAATTGATATCTTTCAAAATGAAACCATTGGAGAGACGCAGAATGAAGCAATTCAGTGATAAACCCGATGTTTTTAGTCATAGAACAGATACCAAACTTTAAATACCAAGGAAATGTAAATGAAAGTCTGCATATACTAAACAATTGAACCGATCGTTTCAACTAAAACCTTATTTCATTGACAATTTCACTTGAATTAAACCACTACATAATGACTCAGAATGAGATGAATGCAAACAGTACACCTCTCTGTATAATCGAGTACAAAAAAACCAATTGCTGTGTATAAATGCACTGAATGTAAATGAATGGTCGGATGAAAGAGACATGAATAATTGTGAATTTGTTGTAATTTTTAGTCAGCGTCGTAAAGGCACTCTTTGTTATTCATCATTGTATATAACTTCATTAATTAGAGCACTATTAATTACCTATGAATAACGAATAGGAGTTGCATTGCTACCGAGAAAAGAGATGCAAAAATTGAAGAAATATACATTCTTATTAACACGAGACACCAGACTTTTCAGCGATTTTTATCGAGATGAATTTACTAAATTTGGTATTCATTTTTATATTTTTCCCTCCACTCCTATATTAACTTGGCGAATAACAGCCATTATTCAGGAAGAAGATCGTAACTCCATTTGGAAATCGTACGTCTTGCGAAGTAATGCATATCAATTCAATACAAGGAACATTTCAGATGGATATCGAAATGGGCGAAGTATCACTCCCTCCATTGGTTCCAACTGAAAGTTCAACCATTTCGCATTCTACGTAACATCCCAAATTTCTTGGGTATATCACAGTGAAGGTATGTAGTCAACCATTTCCCTAATGTCTTCCAGCCGACGGAGTATCCCTCAGTGAATGTTATTATATTCGGGTGAAGAGTTTATAATGGGTTAGGTGATTTCTGAAAGTTCTTTGAACTTCGGAGACACCTATCGTGACTTCCTTGTCAGCTCTATTGTATATTCGGCTTGGTATATTCATTGGTATGTGCTCAATTTCTATTCTTCCAATTAATAATAAATGCTTTAATATCAAACGAGAAATGAATGAATAAATTGACGAGCCATTTTCTAGTTAATAACTCAGAGTATATTGCGACTAACCAACCTCAAAAAGTAACTCGCCCTTTTTAATTAAAAAAAAAAACCATTAAGTCTTCAGCAATCAACGTCTGTAAATCAAAAAGACCCACTCATCCACCACAAATTTACAAAAAAAAATTTAATTGGATTTTAGCCCCCGTAGAGCTTCAGATAAACCCTGTATAGAGTTGCATTCCCCTCAAAAATCGCATTAATCATTGGAGAAAAAGTGTACACCCTTGAAATAATCTGTTCTCTGGAATGAAATCAGCAGAGGCAATTTCCATCCCCTCTCATCTTCACTGGCAACGTTTACGCACGACATGGGAAAACGAGTAACAGGCAAACCAATGCAGCGGGACAAATGACGATGTGGTCCATGTTTCCCCTTGAGCCCTTCCACCCCTGCCTTTCGGAATTAAAGATCCCGCGATAAGACTGTTGTCATCTACCATCCCCATTTTCGTCTTCACTACCCTTCGCCTTGGCGTTTTGTGAAGCTCTTTCACTATGCATCATGTTCGTGAAAAAAGTGGAAAAACCAAGGGAAAAAGAAATGAGAGTCAGGGGATGGAAACGATCCAGGAAAATTCCAATTAATCTTCTCTCGTTTTCCTTCTACCTTCTTATTCCCCTAAAAAAGAACTAAAAAAAGATACACTAGCATCAAATCGATTAGATCCATTGATAAGAAACAAATCGTATAATTTTTCCCATTATTTTTCGTTTTACTCCCGAACTCTTTTATCTTTGCACCACGACCAATTTCTTCAATGGCTTTTCGAAGGTTGATCCTTCAACAATGACTAATATCATTTTTTTCATTCCTCCAAGATTTAAATATTAGAGTACCAGTAGACGGACGTATTACTCTTAATATTTTATAACAAATAATAAAATAATTGTTTCTATGATTTATTTATCCAACGAAGATGCTCGTATGGAATTAATGGATGATCTGCACTTCATGTCGATCGATGGACACGTTTGAATAGAAAAATAAAGTATTTTTGCTTCCGAATGGAAGCTTTGTATTCGGCCCTATTCAAGTTCCCAATTTTTTGTATTAGGGTAACTAAATGTAGCCTAAAAAGTCCGAATATCCCGTTTTAGATGGTGTCTGTATGTGTGTGTGTGTGTGTGTCTGTTTTTTGCTTTTTTCCTCTCTTTCTCTCTCTTTCTTCATCAAGGATTGATCAAATACCCTAATTTCTTTCAATGAATATAGCCTTTCAAAAGCTCCATCTATTGACACTGATCAGTTTTGAAATTTCCATAACGATTCAAAAAAATGCAGAATTTTTCACTGAATATTTTCTTCTCGTTTTTTTTTTCACGAAGGATAAAGAAAATATTGATATAGAATCCTATGCGCTCCATCCATTAACGCCAATTGGAATTAAAATCGGCAGGAAGATTCAGAAACATTCGTATTTTTTCGAAAATTTATCTTCAGAAAATCCATTCGGAAGCTTGTTAATTTCTTAGTAACAACAGCTATGCGCAGTTCTTTATATTGCATTCTTCACTGGTTAACCGGTCATCTACTGGTCGTATTAGCCTAGAAATGGTATTGTACTGATCCGAAAAAATAAAAAGATAAAGGATGACGACATGCATGTTTAATTTTTAAAACGTTTGGGACATTGCATTTTCTTGAGAGAAAATACTTCATATCTAGTTTTGTGTTTCCATTTTTTCCAGGTCCTCCTTGGAAAGTAATTCCTGGAGGCACTGGTCCGTGTCCTGCGTTATGACCCGGACATCCTTCGCACTAGATGCTGTAATACCTCTTTCGCTCGGGTCTTGTAGTTCCTTACTCGTATTTCAAATTTTATCGCTTGAAAATGTTAAGGCGAGGGTAGAAGCACAGAAATTTTGCCGGTCGCGACGAAATGTCGCGTCGAGGTTTCCTCTCGGACACGGCAACGTTTCATTCTTTCGTGATCGTCGATTTTTCCGTGGAAAGATATTTTTGTTTTCTTGTGGGGGGGATTTGGGTTATGAGAACATGGAGGCAGATAGAGGTTCTGATCAAATGACAGCTTCAGGATCCGGCGAGGTCAAGCGTACGTCCAAAGATAAATCCAAAGTTGGTGCTCTCGCTATAGAATTTGAGTATTATGGGTAAGTATGTGGATCTCAATTCATTTTTAGAATCCAACAATAATATGCCACAACATACTTTCTTAAAAATCTTCAAAATCATGCAGATAAATACTGAAAAAGGCAACAACAACAAAAGGCACAGTACAATGTTGTCCTCGAAGTTCATTCGCATACGAACTCTAATAACATTTCTCTTGCCGACGCTTTGTCGATGAGTTATCAAATAAAAGAAGATTGTCAACCGAGCGTTGTACCCTCATTAGCGAAATCATATTGCATAGGTTGAACAAAAAAATCGTATAGCTACTTTTCTATATTTTGATCAAATCTTGTCGTGAGAGATTCTGACGACCACTAACGACTTTTTTGCCTAAAACACATTGAGTGTGATATTGCTTTTCCGATTAAATGCGCTCCTACGAGGGTATTGGATATTTTATCGATTTCAATCAATTGCCAATCAATTGCGATGTCATTGACATTGAGTGGGACGGAAGATATGGATTTTTATAGGGATTTGAATTCATATGATCATCTTTAGGTATAGGTAAACGACATTATCCTTGAATTTATATTGTCTTTTCGATAAATGTGTGGTTTAAGTCCACCAAAAAACAAAAATCATTGAAATGTGAATTTCTTTGGATAAAAACCATTCTTAACCTCTCACTAGTCAATAACAAGACGAAAGAAGAGTGAAACAATAAGGAGAGAAATACATCGATAAATAGTCCCGAGATAAACTCTGTTGTCCTTGAAATTGCTTAAATCCCCCTCGCCTCTGCTGTCGCTGTTGACGCGACGACTGAGTGATATTTAATTCATATCTTGAATAGCTACAGAAGGGTAGCGGCGGATAAGTCACTCGTGGTGTTCGTTCAGCGATGGTAGATGGTCGGGAGAGGTGAATTCAGAGTTTTAGTGAAGTGCTCAGGACTATTAGTTAAATCCATCTTTCTGTGTGTCCATTGTTTTTAAATGTGGTAACATGTGGTATCTTTGGGGCCGACACATGGCCACGTCCTCGCCGTGGCCCTGGATAACGCAGCGAACAGTGTATTCAATGTCGTATCTCCCACGCTAATTTTTTCCGGATGAAAAGGTGACCAGATCCTTAATCAGGTGATGGAAACCCTTCGAACTAAATAAAAAACATCCAGAATCGTTTGGTGGACCTGAACTAGACATTTACCGTCTTTTCTTTCAGCAGTTAAGCTCATCTCTATTTGTGGTTATTTTTTTAAAATTTCGAAATCTCCTTGCCATTAATATATAGTTTATGAATACATTCCGTTCTTAAGTTAAGCATAGAGGTTGTTTGAAATTTCCATACTTAACATACAAAAGGAATATATTCATAACAATTACTTTTTTGAAATAGGTAAACAATGTGAATAATTGGTTTTAAGTGATTCAAGTTTGGTATTTGTACGGTAAATTTCAATGAATTGGTCAAAAAATAATAAATGCCCAATCAACCACCATCTTGTCAGTCCTCAGTCCTCATATCAAGTGAACCGATGAAATCGACGATTGGACCACAAAATTTTGACATTCTCGTTTGCCTTGTCATTGTTATTTATCTTTTGAAGCATGGCGGAAACAACTAATTAAATGTTCCTTGTACTAATTGGTGAGTGACATATCTCGTATGATTTCCGAATACAAGTGTCAAAAGCAAGGCCAAAAGAAAATGTAAAACGTTTTATCTTGGGATAGCCTGTATATAAAAAATATAAATTTTTTAAATTGGACTGTGAAAGAAATGAATTGATGAAATCATTTCCATGCTAGGGGGGTAATTAGTAACGTCGAGCCAGCCTTAACGGATTCAGGGGTACGTGCACTAGCGGTGGATTGGAAGAAGAAATTATTCGAAGTTGGCTATCATGTGGAGAGATTGAGAGACAAGCGTAACAGGTACTTGGCGGGATTAACAATCAATATGATCAACGACAAGATGACTGGTATTTTCGATACGGTACCTCCAGATGGACCCTTGCCTGAAATCGACGAGTTATCGATTATCACGTCGGGGGAGGCCGACTGGGAGAAGGACAGCACGTGGTCCGAATTTTACTCTGCCATTCCGGAAGTCACAGATGAAGTTATTATACCATTTTACAACGTATTTAATTATGTCACTTTATCTACTAATGATTTGCTTAAGTAGATTTCCTGCACGTTTCACTCTAATGAAGAAGATTGCGAGGAGGACGCGTCCATGGATAAACAGCTGGAAACTGTATAGATAGAACAATTAATTAAAGCCCACATGTACTATCTATTGAAAGAAATCGTTCTTTTCAATTCAATTTTTTTCGTGCAAATAATTCTATGTTTGGATTCGAGATTGCATTGCGGGAGCCACTCCAAAGCTTATGAAAAAAGTAACGATAAGAGAGAGGAAAAAATGTTAAAGATCAAAATATTGACTGGAAGGGATCTGTCACGTTTACTGTAAAAATATTAAAAATACGTAGTTTTTCAGTGACCGTGATGGGGAAACGAATACATTCAACAGTCAATGACAATCTAGATTCAACACAGACTGTCAAATCTTGCCGATATTAACCTATAGGCATGTAATTTTTTTTTTTATAACTGTTGTAGTGAGTTCTGCAACACAATGTGAAACTTAAATTTAGAAATGTCCGACACTAGCACTATAAAAGTCCCGCGGAAGATTACATTCGATACATAGTACATGCGGACCCTAATGAACATTTTTCTGGGCATTATGAAACTAAAAATAATGAGACATTTTTTTAATTTCACGCATTTTGGTAGGAATTTTGGTTTCTCCTCTATCAAATTCGACCCTGTGCTGCCATCATGCCCTGTCCTTACTCCAAGTCTAAAGTGATCCACTGGATTTACACCCTGTGTCGTCTGAGCGCGAAGAAATGTTTCAAGATGAAGACTTTGAGAAATGATTACGCTTATTCGCTTCTTTCGTAAGTCTCCTGGGACGATGAGCTCCGTTTTTATGCCAAATTTTAATTTCAAATTTACCCTGATTATTTTTCTGTAATAAGGTATGTTATCGATCTCAAAGTTGCTGGACCCTTTGAAGACAGTCCGCCAAGGCGCAAATTACCTCCTCTTGCAGAAATCGCCAAGTACTTCTCCACCGATAAAAAAAAGTTTCTCGTCGTTGAAAACGGAAAATTTTTTTTAATCAAAAATCACTTTCTAGACGGATGGAATGGATCTTCTAAAATGTCACTATTTTCGAATTCCTTGCTTATTCAGAAACTTTTTTTTTATGGATTTATTATGGTGTCGGTTCTAAATTATTTCAAGAAATAGCTAATAATAACTTTCGTATTCATTGATAACAGAAAAATTGCTGAGAAATATCCCATAACATCTCCGTACAACTGCCAAGCAAATTCCTTCATGGATGCGCAACCAGCCCTCGAGGAAGGTGCTATCTGTTATGTAGCAGTCACTGGAAATCAGTTTGATCCAAATACATTACTTCCAAGATAAACCCCGGAAAAATGAATGACAAGACCCTTGTTTTCTGAGCTAAATCAGAATAAATTCATTGAATCCATACACTGAATCTTCCAGAATCAATTTTTCTCTTAGGACGTTTCATATTTTATCGAAGATTTTCTCCCCTCACCAACACTTCATCTTCGATTCATAAAGGACAATGTTAAGTAGATTTCTCAACGTCCCGATATTATGATTAATACTTTTTCGCAAAACCGATACACGGGATCAATGAGCGGTGATAGGAAGAGAGGGAGGCGAAAGGGAGAATGAAATGGTGGTTGAGAGGGTGAATTTCTCCCTTCATCTCACTCAGATTGAGGCTGTAGTGGATACAGCAAATCCCCGTCAACCGCATTCAATTACGATGTTATCGCGAATACAGATGACGGTTATTTCCTTCGGTACACCCCATACATAAACGGCATCGCTTCACTTGCCGTTAAGTTGAGGGTATGGAGGCTTTACTCGAGCGTTCAATTGTTTTGCTATGTACTTGAAATCATCAAACAATTTAAAATATTTCTTATCCGAAAAGCTTTTGCTCGGTAGAAATTTCTCGTTTCGTTGATATTCATTGAAACAAATGAGTGATTACATCATCATTAAGGTACTTTAGGCATTATTGCTAATTAATTAGCAACTTGCTTATGTGTCACTGGTTATTCCGTAATTGTTATTGTATAACGTGAGATAACGCTTTTCTGTAATTATTTTCTCACTACGATGGATTGACCCCTTCTCAAATACTTCGAGAAACTGCTTCCTTTTATCAATACATGGCACTTACCAAAATTCTTAATGAGAAAACTAGTACATTGCTCTTAATCTGTGTTACTTTTGGTATTTATTTCTTCTAATAAATTACCAATATGCTTGCGAATGGAGATGTCTTTCATCTCATCATTGAAAGTATATTATATATTCGGATTGGTGATGAAATAAAAATGCAATCTAAATTGAAATTGAAATAATATTGAATTACATAATCATTTGATTATTTTAATCTATACATAGATGTCTTTTTTCTACTTGCCTACTTGAATTTATGAAAATAGGTAACTTTAGATATCATTCACCTTGCTCTATATGGACATGTCATCTGCACTAAAATATTCACTGATCATGGCATTTCTCTTATCGATATTAAGGTCTCATCGTGGCTTTTTCCGCAACACTTTGAATTTCAAAGATATCAGTTCTTGTTCCCGGCACAGAGTTTGGGCCGACCTAGAGATGACACTGTCGCGACCTTGGAGCGACCCTGGGACGATCTCGACTCATTATTTTTTTGTTCTCATGTAAAACTGATAATGGTATGGATGCCATCTTCAAACTCACGGGTTAGAACATGAGTCCGGATATTTCTAACGCCAATTCAATCGATTCGGGTGAATATTGTTTCAGTTATCCTGGCAAGACTGGATTGGACACACATACACATGCATGTATATATACGGACGTGCTCTAAAAATATTATATTGGAACTCATGAACCCCAAATTAGTCATCCTAACTCGTAACTCTGGATGCAAAAAGTCAATACATATTTTTTAACTATCTAAATCCATGCAATGATTTCGGTCCATGAGGAATTATCTTGTTCATTCATGAGCAAAGACATTATAATATAGAAAAAAACAAAGTAATACTCCAATTGTTCAATTTCATCGGGGAGCTATAGTATAATTAATCTAACTACTTAATGTATCTAACTAAATCCGCAGCAGATTCAAAATTTCAAAGGTTCAAGCGAGGGGCTACTCACTCCCAAATTGAGTAACACCATAATTTCATTTTGATGTTGACTTCAAATGAATTTAGTCAGGATTTTGGTAATTGGGTGACGTGATTTCAGTAACTTAAAGTTTCAGGATCAATGACTTCATGGCTTCAAATTGCTCAATTTAATTTCAATTTTGTAGTTAATGATTGGAATTAAAATGAAGTCATTGAAATCACGACAGATATAATTCGAGAGAATAATGAGACAATTGTCGTAATTAAACGCTTTATTAGCACACTCGTTGGATATTTGTTTTTTACGCCATGCCTAAGGCTCATCAATTTAGCAACGTTGAGGCGAATGAGTGAATTCCCGAAAAAATGTTAGTAAAAAGGGGTTTTGTTTTCGCCTGGGGAGGAATTCCGCGGCTTTTATGTCAAAATAAACATTTATATTTTCGCTCCTATTAGGTAGCGCGTTTATAGCCTTGACGTTTCATTTGAATGAGTTTAGGAACATTTATGTAGCGCATAGGAAGAGGTAGGCTGCAGATTACAGTATGGCCGCCGTGCGTTCAATTTAGTGCTCCAAAATGATGAAATTAATTGTAAATTGAAATAAAACTTGGAGAGAAAAAGTTAGGATCGATTTATCATCAATTCAATTCTTGCAATAATTTTAAGCTCTTAAAGTACTGAAATAATCAGGAGCTGTGAGACAAAATTTTTATACTAACATAAAACGCGCTGAATTCCTGCCCTGGTGGACGTTCAGAAAGAATTTCTGTTCGGTGCCAAATTCATAAATTATATTCAAGAACAAGCGATGTATGATCCCACTGACTGCAAGCGGTTTCAGTGACTTCAATTGATTTGAGAAACGAATTCAAAATCGACTTCGGCGATTGAAATCACCTGATTTCAGTTACTTCTGTTGATTTCACCATCGAGTGGCACCATAACTTCAAGAGTGGGTAGCCTCTCGGGTTCAAGCTGGATATAATAAAAGACGAATGAAAAATATTTCCAAAGTGATGTGTATTCTTTAAATTACCAAAATATTTATCATTTTTTAATGTGGAAACCATTGATTGAGTTAACAAGCAGACCACAGTAGTTATGCGATTCTACATAGATGAGCTATTGAAGCGTATGGGTATATTTTCTTTGCCATCAATAAATTGGTGGACAGCTTCCTAATGATTTTTACAATACGTTTTTTCCTATTCATTTATAACTATGAAAAATGTATTAGGACTAAAAGACTAATTCGATCCAGTCAATTTCAAGGTATTCCACATAATCATTGTATACTATAAATTGAATACCTACGAATATCTACGGAACAAATCTGTCAATTACGCTCATTTTCAATATCATCGGTTATAGTGATAAAGGGAATATTTTTTCCATGGTTCACTGCTCAATTTTTCACTGCTCAATTTTTCACTGATTTCAATAGAACGAATCATGACGGAAAATATGAAAGAGAAAAAAAACTGAATACCTTGCTTAATTTTGGAGATATTTTGAAAAAACCATTTATTTCTTGAGATTTATCACGATTTAAAAAAAACGGCTAACCCGACCCAGCTGAAGCCAGACCCAGAGTTAACCTCAAGTCTTTCCTTCGATCTGACGAAATTTCAAATTTTTGGAATTGTTTTATCCACCTATATCTTTGCTTCACTAAAAAAATCACCCTTGGTCAGAACGGTATACGCATAGATATTTCCACAACATTTTGTATTTTCAGATTTCAAACCATTCTACATTATTTCCCAGCAAAATTATAATTGTTTTTTTTTTGCGTTGGGATTGAACGATTGCAATGCTTTCATTTGGAAGCAAAAAGTATATAAATGTGTGAAATGCAGTTTAACTTTTGTTAAAATAATGTGTAATGTCCTGATTCTGAAATAATGCTAATACTGAAAACAATGACGTGATGGAGATGAATTTTAAACAATCTCTTTCCAAATGATTCGGAAATGATTCCATAGACGTAGCATCGTGACTTGGAGAGTTATTAGCCCCGGGCTCGAGTGTTCACTCGGACGGAACAGCGACAGGGCCTGTCAAAAACACTGAATTTTTCCTGTGCCACGCGGCCTCCGTTATAACGTAATTTCGCCGCGTCATTGCCAAACGCTGGAATCTCTCCCCCAATCCTCTCGGACGTATTGCAGCCGATCAGTTACATTATCCCCGGTTGCATTTTTTTTTACATGCCCGGATGATATCCGGGGTAATCTGATAGGCCCCCGGGGTGTGCTGCTTCCGAATTATCGAGGCTGACGCTCCAACGTGTGCCAAACAAATGTCAAATATTCCAATAATCGATCGATGAATTGATTTTTAAATGGTGGGGTCAACTGTTGGATGAACAACTTTGTTTGTAGTCGAAATAAAGCAAAACCTCATCAACAAGTCATGCTCGCTGTCTGGGTGAAAAATCAGTTTTAGATTTGTGACGTCAGGAGGTTTTGCTCTTTCACGAACGCAATGTATTGTCAGTAGGCTTAAGTAGTTCAAGGTGAAATCAGTGAATCAGAGGGAGGGCCACGTAGGAATATTTGACCGAAGGGAACCGGATTTTCCTAAGCAGTCCCACGATGCCACCTGAGTCCAGCTTTCTGTCAGAAAACTGTTTCACGGTGTTGAAGCATATTGTCATTGACCATACCGAAATAACCTGGACAAAACAAGCCGTGGGAATTCTTAATCCAGTTTACGGGGGCTGAAGGTTCTTTCAAGCCCCCAAGTTGACAGATCATGGTCGGACTCGAACCAGAACAGTCGGTCTTGAACAACACGAACAGTCCGGTCGTCAAAAAACAGTCAGCACCGCGATACGCCGAGCCCCAGAATAGTTGTAGGGCAATGCATCAGTGAAGTAATACTAGGGAGTGATTATTGCTGAACCTTCCCCGAGACTTTCCCCAGGGAGCACATCATCTCCCCGTGAGCTCAACCTAGAGTTTGTTTTCCAACGTTTTTTTAAATTTTATATACTCACAGTTAGTGGAGTGAAGTTCATCACGCAAAGAATTGGCACTTTCTGAACAACGTAGTTGATATCTCATTCAAAGCTTCCTATGATCTACATTATTCTGTTAAAATCAATAAGAATTTTTGGAAAAAACCGCCATCTGGCAACCCTGGGAGCGACTAGCTAACCAAGGACTTGCGTCAGGCGACATGAGAGGACTACTACCAGCTAGATTGTTATCAACTGTATTGGCTATTCAACCAACAAGAATAAATTAGCAGTGACAAATAAATTAATTCTGCATTCATTCTTTTTTCAATATAATTGAAAATAATTTTCTGATAAGAACCC